TGCCACAAAAAGTGGATACTTGGGCGTAATTCTAACTGTAGCATGATATCAGTATAGACAGATTACCCTGTAAATATCATATATGTAGATGATTTACCTGACAAGGCATTTTGTCAATTAAATGAAAATGAGATCTTAATTAACTATGATAAGTGTATACAATGTATATAACATATTTTTTATTAGATTGGTATTTTATCCACTCAGTAAATCATATCAAGACTCAATTTCATTTCAGCTTTATTAAAAGAACATACATCTACACTAACTTCCTTCGAATTTCTACATCCATCTGTGTTCAAATCAATTTGTCATAATGCATTTTGCTATTCTGTACTCTAACTAATTTCCCTGGCTGTAGACAGACTCATTAAAATGTGATGTATCTGGTAATCTTATCAGGAACTAAGACAAATGTTATACCAGGATTTATTGTAAGTGGAAGAGAACCGTTAGATCCAAGTCAAGATGCAAGATGATGTTTTTATAGGGAAACAAAGACGATATACATGGCATACTCACCAAGCAATGAACATGCTGCTATTGTCCCCTGTAAGAGTACAACATGCTGTGTTAGGATCACCATGGAAACCACCAGAAACCAGTAAATACCCACACAACACACCACTCAATCAAACATCACATCACTCAATCAAACACACCACTAAATCAAACAACACACCACCCAATCAAACATCACATCACTCAATCAAACATCACACCACTCAATCAAACATCACACCACTCAATCAAACATCACACCACTCAATCAAACAACACACCACTCAATCAAACATCACACCACTCAATCAAACATCACACCACTCAATCAAACATCACACCACTCAATCAAACATCACACCACTCAATCAAACATCACACCACTCAATCAAACATCACACCACTCAATCAAACATCACACCACTCAATCAAACATCACACCACTCAATCAAACATCACACCACTCAATCAAACATCACACCACTCAATCAAACATCACACCACTCAATCAAACATCACACCACTCAATCAAACATCACACCACTCAATCAAACATCACACCACTCAATCAAACATCACACCACTCAATCAAACATCACACCACTCAATCAAACATCACACCACTCAATCAAACATCACACCACTCAATCAAACATCACACCACTCAATCAAACATCACACCACTCAATCAAACATCACACCACTCAATCAAACATCACACCACTCAATCAAACATCACACCACTCAATCAAACATCACACCACTCAATCAAACATCACACCACTCAATCAAACATCACACCACTCAATCAAACATCACACCACTCAATCAAACATCACACCACTCAATCAAACATCACACCACTCAATCAAACATCACACCACTCAATCAAACATCACACCACTCAATCAAACATCACACCACTCAATCAAACATCACACCACTCAATCAAACATCACACCACTCAATCAAACATCACACCACTCAATCAAACATCACACCACTCAATCAAACATCACACCACTCAATCAAACATCACACCACTCAATCAAACATCACACCACTCAATCAAACATCACACCACTCAATCAAACATCACACCACTCAATCAAACATCACACCACTCAATCAAACATCACACCACTCAATCAAACAACACACCACTCAATCAAACATCACACCACTCAATCAAACATCACACCACTCAATCAAACATCACACCACTCAATCAAACATCACACCACTCAATCAAACATCACACCACTCAATCAAACATCACACCACTCAATCAAACATCACACCACTCAATCAAACATCACACCACTCAATCAAACATCACACCACTCAATCAAACATCACACCACTCAATCAAACATCACACCACTCAATCAAACATCACACCACTCAATCAAACATCACACCACTCAATCAAACATCACACCACTCAATCAAACATCACACCACTCAATCAAACATCACACCACTCAATCAAACATCACACCACTCAATCAAACATCACACCACTCAATCAAACATCACACCACTCAATCAAACATCACACCACTCAATCAAACATCACACCACTCAATCAAACATCACACCACTCAATCAAACATCACACCACTCAATCAAACATCACACCACTCAATCAAACATCACACCACTCAATCAAACAACACACCACTTAATCAAACAACACACAACTCAATCATACATCACACCACTCAATCAAACATCACACCATTCAATGGTTAAATAGTAAACTTTAAATTGTATATACCTTGTAAATTAAAAAAACATGCAACTCTTTGACTACTTTAAAGATAATTAGGTCAACTTTAATCAGTTTTTAACTGGATATAGTGTCCCTTAACTCTTTCACCACTGTAGATCATAATGGACTCATCCAGATCAAGGTATGGTAGAGTTTAATTACTACAGGTGGGTGTAAATATAGATAGTTTATTAAGTTGCATAATGATCTTACATTAAGTAGGACATCATGATTTTTTTACCTGAATTTTATTTTTGTTATCATTTTATTTTATTTCATCTTCAGCTCTGATGTAAATTAACTCACATTCTAGATGTTGTTTATTGTGACTGGTGTTTATTTTCTCTGATAGGCCTCACAGTCTATAGATCAATTTACCCGAATTCATATACCGCTATATACATGTATAACTTAATTTTTCCTAAAACAGATTTCTACGCTTATATCTTTGCTATTTATTATTTGTGAAGATTTGGATTCTCAAATAAAATTTCAAACATATACCTGGTATAAATACAGCTTGTTAAATGTTTCTAAAAAAGTTGCAAGATATTTTAATTCATTATCCACATAAAATGTACTCCTGGGAATTTACATGCAGTGTCATGTACTTCAACACCTCTTCTCAGAGTTACTTGTTTGTAGGATTACAGCTGTTGTAGCCAAATACTCATTTAGAAGTATCATCCTGTAGTTTCTTTACTGTATATAAATCACACAGTTCTGACACAATTTTAAGTTCAATGGGTTCCCAAACACCGTCAATGTAAACATTCTCACCAGAATTACCCACAGACATGTCAGAGTAAATACTATGGTTGCATGACTAACACTACATTCAACTCTATCTATAGGGTTGATCAGTCAAAGCTGACTTTGCAAGGTAAGAACCACCAATCAAACGGGAATTCAACCATGGCCATATATACATTGTGTATTTGTCCATTTACAACAGATATACTATCCCACACTGACTTCCTGTTAGCAAAGGGGGGCATTTGTGTTGGAGATAGTTCTTAACTTCTGAAGACAGCTTTTAAGGTTAAACATTCCCCAGTAACATCCATATTTAATCTTTATTTCATAAAGATGTACCATATGGTTATCACTGCTGTATGTGATCCTTCAATGATATAACTGTTTGTATCATAACATAAAAATTAAAGCTTCTCTACTAAGAAAAAAATATCAAAATTTTGTGGATAAAGATTCAGAAGACATTGTAATGTTATAATCACTATTGTTTCATTTTAATGTTGTGGAACTCCAGAGAAATAGCTGATTTTAGGCATGAACAAATTTAATTAACATATTTTGATATTACTCAAATTTCAACTCTATGTATTACATAATTCAATTCAAGTATATTTTTTTATAGAAGACTACCCAATAAAGAATATAATTTCCATTCTACAAATTATATCTAAAGGTCTTGATCCACTAACATTAGTTTGAATTAGTTTTAAACCAAAACAATAAAAATTGCAAAGATAATTAGGTATTGGTGTCATGATAATTTTCACTGTTAATATTAATGTTTTTTCTAAAATTTAAACAGACAGAGAAATCAAGGGCAAATACCTGCTGTTTAATATATAGTAATTCACAAATGTTCAACTTATTTCTCAGAAGCATTGGATAAAAAACAAGAGCCCCAAAGGGCCTCAGTATCGCTCACCTGAATATGTTTAAAATAATTGGTATGAAGTATAGATATAGCACTCCATGGTAGGTGCTGTTAGTACATATGAAATTTCAGAAAGATCCATCCAGTACTTGAGATATAGCGAGAACAAACTTCAAACAGAGCCCCACCCCTATGCCTCTATTTATTCAGAACAACATCAATTTGATAAAATAGCATAGTTTTTAAAATTATTGAAGCAAAGGTTGAAAAAAAACGTGTGATAGAAATACATGGCAGAGTAAATTTTATTAACTGACAAAAATATTTTATATTGCTTGCCCTTTTAAATCCAAACGTTTGAGATTGTGACTGTTATGTAAAAGTTCTATTGTAACATTGTGTAGTACATTGTTAGAACCTTGTTTATGTCTCAACAGTTTGTGGCATGAACTAATTAGAACACCTTTTATCATTTATAGTATTGTTTGTTTATTACAATTAGTAGGTATGTATGTTAACAAAACTATCAATAAAGAATCATAAAATCATAAAGAAATACAAAATAGGATATTGTCTAAAGTAGGAACCACATCAGAAACTATCCTAATCAATACACTATTTCTTTTGCAAGGTTTTTGCTACTGTGATAATTTTATTAAAACTAATCTTATTCAGGTATGTCTCCTGATGTTTAACCATTTGTGGTTTCTTTCTTATCATCTCTTATTGTAACATTCCACTTCCTTCCTCTGTGTTGTCAGCACTGGTGTACATATCAGTGGTTGTTCCTAGCGATGGACTGGTACCTGAGAAATAGTGATAACAAACTTGACCTGTTTAAATTCAAGATGGCAATCAGGTGGCCATCTTGGTTTTTTTCTGATCAGTCTCAAAATGAACCATTAACAAATACCAATCAAGACCAACAAATGAAAGTTTAGAAAATTAAAAGAAGTGTTGATTCAATGAAAACCTCAGGACAAAGGATCTTTGTTCTTTACTTTTCTCTTGTGGTGTTGATTTGTTTAAATACATACTTTATTAATATGTTTAATTAATGTAACACAGGTAGTATGTCTTCTTATTAAATTGTTCTCAAAATCCTTTTTTTATAAACTCTTTTGAAACAGAACAATGGTTAGATATTTTATTTTCATGGCAATATAAACTATTTAAAGGTTAATTTCTGCTGAATTTCAGCAACATTTCACTTTTTGATAGATCTATTGAGACTCAAATCATCATTTTTCAATTAGCATAGAGGAAGTCAACATTTTGTAAATGTTGTTAGTGGAATCAAATTTAAAAGATATGAGGCAGAATATAAAAGACAGTTTAGCACTTGAAGAAAGGTCCTATAGTTCTCTGTGTTGTATCTCCAGTAAAGAAAAATCGAATTTGTTCTGTATGTTTTTGACTTTGCCTGCAGTAGTTCCTTGATAGTAAAGAGATGCCATCAGGCCTGGACATATTTGAAAGAGGGCTAGAAGGCAAAGTTATGAATTTTATTTTCGCTATGCACAATTCTAAACATGCTTTTATGGATGGGACATTCCATGTTATGTTATCTAATGCACACATTTCAATCATTACATGTGAAATCCTAGAAAAGTTCAAAAAACAAGAGGCCCATGGGCCTTAACGGTCACCTGATATATTTATACAGAGAGTTGATTTTTGTTTTTAACATGAACAGAAATATCATTCAAAGTGACAAAAAACAATAAAACCACATTATTCAATATCTAGCATGCAGATTTAAGACTGAAAAGTATTTGAAACTAGCACCTCTGATTCTAAACAAGGAAAATGAAGAAATCTTATTTTAGCACACAGACTCCATTGGGCCCCACCCTACAGCCCTTGGGGGAAGGGATGGCTCAAAATTTACAAAGTATCAAACTGTCAACTTAGGGTTATAATTCCAATCAAGTTACCCCCTCCTTCCCCAGGGGGAAACGCGAGACCCCAGGGTCATGAAATTCACAATTTTGGTAAAGCACCTTAAGACCCTTCCATCTATGAAGAGTATTTGATTCTACCATATCTGGGTCTTGAGAAGAAGATTTTTGAAATTTCAGTCAATTCAACCCTTTTTGGCCCCACCCATCAGCCCCTGGGGGTCAGTCAGGGCTCATAGGTGCATACTATCAAACTGCTACCTAATACTGATAATGCTAACCCAAATTGAATTACTTCCAATGGAAATTAAACAAATGTTGGTCCAAAATGTGATTTCCCTATATAAACTATAGTAAAGTTTACCCCCTCCCCAGGGGGAAACGTGAGACCCCAGGGTCAAGAAATTCACAATTTCGGTAAAGCACCTTAAGACCCTTCCATCTATGAAGAGTATTTGATTCTACCATATCTGGGTCTTGAGAAGAAGATTTTTGAAATTTCAGTCAATTCAACCCATTTTGGCCCCACCCATCAGCCCCGGGGGGTCAGTCAGGGCTGATATGTGCATACTATCAAACTGCTACCCAATACTGATAATGCTAACCTAAATTGAGACTTGAGACTTTGTCTCAGGTGACTTAAAAACATCCATGAAATCTTGAAATCAACCAAAATGTTACCACATGTGATTTTGAGTAGCATCAACTTGTTTTGTGTTCTTTATTATTCTGATTGTTGTTTAAAATATTGTTTACTAATGTTATATACTTCCATTGTTTGGGTGTTGAGAATTTAATCTATGTAAATTGGCTATCATGCAAATTAGAAATCCTTCTGGAATTTCCATCATTAACAATGTCACGATTGGTCCCTGTTTAGTCAAACCGTCTGAGGGAATGACCCAAACAGTTTATAATTGGAAAACTTTAAAGTGTAATGTTTCTTGCTGTTATAAGATTTTAGTAACATTTGTGGTTAGAACGAAATGTGAATGTTTGTTAGTATTGCTACTCTACAATATTTGAAATATTTCTAGGAAGCTTTATATATGCCAACAAAACAACAAGAGGCCTAGGGGGCCTGTATCGCTCACCTGGTTATCTAAGCAATCATTGCACAATATTTTTTCGTTTGCTCTGTAATGCCAATTTGTATATATATATATAACCACTTCAGACATGTAGGGTAAGAACTTGGAAGCGTTACTATGGAGACTTTATAATTCATAAAGAATTAAGGTTGTTACTATTACTAGCACATTAGTTGGGTTGGAGATAAAAAGTCAGAGACATGAAAATCACAAATTGTATACACCACCCAAATGCCTTTACAGCTATGGGTAGTATTTGATCCTAGCATTTTTATAACTAAAGAAGAAGATTTTTTTAAATTTTCCCAAATCCAACCCCCCCTTTTTAGCCCCTAACTCAGCCCCCCCCCCTAATAAGTATTTCTCTCAAATATGAATAAATTATTTTCAAAACAATGGAAGACATGTGACCTGTCATGTCTATTTCCTATATACAACAACAAACTCTACAGAAATCTCAGGTTCTACTATACTGCCACCCTGACAGAAATGTCAATGCAGCAGTGAAGGTGTCAGTGTTTTCTCCATGTAACCACACACAGTGACACGGCATCAAAGGAATATATCATAAACAGCATATAAGCAGGCACATCAGCACAAGGGATTCATGTTTACAACAAAAGTTAATACAAAATTAATACTTACAAATACAGCAAAGATAAGAATGCTGCCAATGTTTTCTGTAAACGTCCTGTCATACAAATTAAAGGCCGACTCCAAGATTATTCTGAAAAAATAAAGTTGCATTTTTGTTTCTTACTGTTGCTGCTCTCTAGCCGTGTCAAGGTCAGTGTACCTTATAAGTCTCAAGGTCATTGTAACTTATAAGTCTCAAGTACTTATAGAGGGAGGAGGTAGTGAAACTTTGTGTACTTACGGAGGGAGGCAGTAGTGGAAGCCTGTGTACTTACAGAGGGAGGCAGTAGTGGAAGCCTGTGTACTAAGAAAGGGAGGCAGTAGTGGAAGCCTGTGTACTTACAGAGGGAGGATGTAGTGGAAGCCTGTGTACTTACAGAGGGAGGAGGTAGTGGAAGTCTGTGTACTTACAGAGGGAGGCGGTAGTGGAACCCTGTGTACTAAGAAAGGGAGGCGGTAGTGGAAGCCTGTGTACTTAGAAAGGGAGGCAGTAGTGGAAGCCTGTGTACTTACAGAGGGAGGAGGTAGTGGAAGTCTGTGTCCTTACAGAGGGAGGAGGTAGTGGAAGCCTGTGTACTTAGAGAGGGAGGCGGTAGTGGAAGCCTGTGTACTTACAGAGGGAGGATGTAGTGGAACCCTGTGTACTAAGAAAGGGAGGCGGTAGTGGAAGCCTGTGTACTAAGAAAGGGAGGAGGTAGTAGAAGCCTGTGTACTTACAGAGGGAGGCGGTAGTGGAAGCCTGTGTACTTACAGAGGGAGGAGGTAGTGGAAGCCTGTGTACTTACAGAGGGAGGAGGTAGTGGAAG